TTATTAGAAATATTTATTTATATTTATCATAAATACTACATAAAATATTTAATCTATATTTTAATAATATTTCGAATAAAGCTTTATATAAAATATGTATGAAATATGTATCTATATAACATTTAAAAAAATGAATATTAATAAATATCTATCATAAATATTCTGTGTTGTCTGGGTACAAGTTTAAGAATTTCGAAAGCTTCCAGTTTGAATCAATTACATATAAAAATTTAAAAATAAGTCATATTGTAAGCCTAACAGTCGGAGATCCATTAAGAAGAATCGATTGATACAAAAAACGAAACTTACAGGATCATTAAATGTCTTTGCGATATCATGCAGTATTTTTGACCTTTCATCTGGATAAAAATATTTAACGGTAGTTTGCGGTCTGGCAGACAGCGCGGTACATGTGTCAAATAAAGTCGTGAATTCACATTCAATAGGTTTTGTAATTTGTTGATCGAAACAGCTGCCCCACACGTAAATGAGTTTTTTTTCGCTTATAGCACAACTCATATTTTTCATAGCAGCAATATCCAACATTTTTGTTGGCTTAGACGTTATCGCCGTAATCTGTTAATTCCAAAATTTTCTACTTCATTTATCTATTTAACGTTTCTATTCTCACAACACTTATAATAACAAATCATTTACCATCTCAGGAGTAAAGAGATCATTTCTCCAATTACAACCTAATTGTCCACAAGAGTTTCCACCCCAGACGAAAATGTTTCCTTCTTTAGATAGTGCGAGTACGTGTGTATATCCACAGGCTACTTTCACTAAAATGTCAAGATCAAATATAGATTAATCACAAATGCAGCTATACAAATCCTTCATTTCCTCATAAATCATCTTTAGAAATGGACTTTCAAAATAAAGAAATTACTTATTTTAACGCCTTCTGTTATTTTAACTTCAACTGGTTCTTCTATAAATGTGTCCTCGCTCTTAACACCTAATTGACCACGATTATTTTTTCCCCAAGTGTATATCTTGTTGTCTGCAGTAAGCACTACGAAGAAACTGTGTCCACAACAAATAGACTCGACCTTTGTCTGGAAATGCATCTGTCTCAGCCAGGACAGGCCATTAAAGTGATAGATTTGGAAATAGAATACCTAGATATTAAACAACTTTTAATATCTAAAAAACTAAATATTATTATCATAATAATTCCGTTAGCTTACCTTTTGATCGTCAGTTAAAATGATAAAAGTATGGTCGCCACCAGTTGCACTTTGTACAACACGTGAATATCTCAAATCAATTAGATGAGAATAATACTTTAAATTAGGTTCAGCCCATGTAACATCCCACCAATGATATACCTTTTTCAAAAATAAGATTGTTATTAATTTTTATAATTCATATATTTTATATACATAAAATACGTAAAATAAAAGATAAACTGTGATGCACTATTATATATTCTACTAATCTTCCAAAATTTCTGCAAATTCTAAAATTATTAGAGACGTTGGTATACGTTGGACAATTCTAATTTCTTCTTACATTTATGTATGAAAATTACACAAAATGTAATTTTACAAAAAATGTATCACAATACAGTATAAATCAGACTCCAATTTGAACTCCGGAAGTTAAAACGCAAAGTCATCGACATAAAAAAATTCAATGTAAGATTTTAGGAATTATATATAAACTGTTGATATGGTCACTTAAATGCATATTAACATTTTGCAGTCCCCGAAATCTTACCCACATTGAATTTTTTGCGTCGATGGCTTTGCGTTTTGGCTCCGGAGCTCAAATTGGACAGACTTGATATAAATATATAAAATGTATACAAATCCGTTCTTTATGAGATTATTGAAGTAAATATATAGAGAATGTACAAATATGTCATAATCACTCTTAACCCTTTGAGGGGCACATTTTTCTTCTAAACAAATTATTGAAATCATAGGTCATTTATATGGGTTTTCGGGGTCGCTGATTACGATTTGTAATGTCAGAATTACAAAATTCAAAATGACAGATCCAATATAGCGACTATTTCGGTCTAAATTCGAAGTTTTTCATTCAAATTGCATAAAAATAAGCTCTCAGAAGTATGCAAATACATGATACATATGTGTAAACAATTATAATAAATAATAAATAGACTTATTAAAAAGATCAATTTTCCAAAATTTCAAAAATTTTTTTCAGAAAAACTAGCAATCAGAAAATTCTGGAAAAAATATATATTAGATATAGTTTCAGATATGGAGTACACGCATAAAAATTTTCAGAATTCTAACGCTTCACGTTTAAGAATAACCGAATTTATTCTAAAAAAAAACGAGTTTTTTTACATTAATTGTTTATAATAAAATTGCAAATAAATAAATTAACATGATTTAATTTATTAACATGATGTAATTTTTCATGAAAGTTGCATAACTTAGATTCCCGTTTTCACAATATATGGTTACCTAAAGATTAAAGGTTACCAACAGATTCATCAATGAAATTCATTCATGACATTCTTGGTTACCTTTGATCTGTAATGCATGGCCTACGATAGGCCTGTTCTTTTTGGCTGAACTTTCGCACTAGTTCATCTTTCTTCCTTTTCTCTCCAGGAGGAAAGAAGAGGAAGAAAGATGAACTGGTGCAAAAGTTCAACTAAAAAGAACAGGCCTAATGGCAGTAGCAGTAGTGGATGATACTGTCAGTTGAATGTAAGAAGAATAATCGACTGTGATTGGTCAATTTCTTACTCTTACAGCCTCCTCCATTACTGATACTGCCATTGTAGACGCATAAAATACATGTAGTAAGTTTGGTTTAAGAAGTAAGAGTAAGAAATTAACCAATCACAATCGATTGTGAAAGGAATAATCAACAGTGATTGGTCAATTTCTTACTCTTATTTTTTAAACCAAGCTTACTATATGTATTGTAGACGGGCCATAACATTTAGCATTTCTATTCGAACGTTTTAATAGAATAGAAAAATATCATTGGTTAAACGCTATAATCGTGATCGTATAATTGGTGGCCTATCTATTATACCGCCCTAATAACACGGTTCATCCAAATCTTTATTAGAACTATCAAAATAAGATAGTTTATTTTCGTCTGATCTATTAACTATAACAAAAAAGTTCAATTATGTTAATGAATTTCATACAATATACAAAATGATACATATGACAGATGTACATATTTATACTAATAGTTGCAATATTATTTTCGTCAATTTTTAAAGCGTTCTTATTTTCATCGTATCCTTTAAAGCAGTCATGTTGGAATTTTGACATTGTTGTGCTATGAGTCAGTTTTATTTGCCACATTTTATTTGCTGTAAACAAAGATAATTATATTAACTAATTAACTTTTCGCAGATTAATCTTCTCTATTTTTCTATACTTAATCTGACTGGATCATTGCTGCTTTTTAGAAGATTTTTACACATACACAATTTTATATTAAAAAAACTAAAAAAGATATATAATATTAAAATAGATACATAATAAAGAGTGAATAAAACATGATATATCATATATATCAAACGAAATAAGAACTCTAGCACAAAATAAATAAATACAGAAATAAAGAAAAATACGAGAGAGTAAATAACACAGTTGTTTGTCTATTTTTCTAAACTATTATATAAACTAAAGAATAATAATATAAAAAAAAAATATAAACGCCTCTATATTGCCTGTGCCAAAATATCACGCTAACACAAAAATCGCGTAAATTTGCGCAATACGCAACTTTTTAAAACAAGCGTAATGGAAAGCACGGATCGCCTCTATTGGTTACGCGATACGCATTACGCGGAAAATATCAATCCATGTAACCGAATCCTAAGAGTTTAAAAAGTACTCATATACACATACAAACTGCAAAATAGATCAGCAAAATGAAAAAAATTAAGAACAAAAAGGTGGAACATATGCGTCCCACTGCCCCTCAAAGGGTTAAATAGGGAGACATTTTTATGAGAATAAAATTCATTTGAATTTTTAAGTGATTTTTTTTCATTTTCAAAATGTATTTTATTTATTAAAAAATAAAAATAATTTTTCTACATATGCTACCCAATAAAAAATTTTTCATGCATTAATATGTATAAATATGTCTAAATATACACAAACATGTATGAATATTCATAAGCATTTAGAATTATATATGAAATATGTCCATATACATATTCATACATTCCTTTTTCTTTTGTAAAATTACTTTTTAGTGTAATAGAAATAGTAATAGTAATGTGAAAATATTAAAAATAATTAAAGGGATAATTTTCGCATTGTTCGTTTTAGAAAAAAACAAGTTTGGAAAAATGAAAAAAAATTGCTCATACACAATTATACATAATTTTATATATAATTATACATAAGTAATAATAATTTTTTTTAATTTCTTCTCAAACTTGATTTTTTTTAAAACAGTGCGAAAATTATCCTTTTAATTATTTTTAATGTTTTCACATTGCTATTATTATTTCTATTTACTAAAAAGTAATTTTACAAGAGAAAAAAGGATATGTAGACATATTTCATATAAAATTATGTATATGAAATTATGTTTATGAATATTTATACGTATTCATACATGATAAATTTTTTATCGGGTATGTATGTCATAATATGACTTCTACGTATTAAGAGCATTACATTCAATGAAAAACTATTAATAATTTATTATTATATATAATTAAGTGTAAAAAATTTTTAGTATCCCTGGTGAAAAAATTTCACTGAATTTATTCCACGTTTTGAAATATTTCAGCGAAATTGCTGAAAATTTGTTGAAATGTCATTGAAAGTGAATTTTTTAGTTAACATACTAAAAAATGGTTGAAATTTTGAATTGAAATTTCTTTAAAATTTTATTGAAATTTCTCTGAACTTTTTGCCGAAATTTCTCTAAAATTTTGTTGAAAATGAATTTTTCAGCTAAAACTTGCTGAAATTAAATTGAAATTTTTTTGAAATGCTGAAATTTTGCTGAAAAATATTTCAAAACGTAGAATAATTTCGGCGAAATTTTTGGTCAGGAATATTTTTGAGATATACTATACCTCTCCATTTTCTGTTAACAACATGACAGCAAGATCACAGTCAATAAGTAACATCTTTATGACTTTCTCGAACATGAAATCCACTTTTTCTGAGTTTTTAGTACAAACTATCTCACCTGTTTTGTTACTATGTGTATATTTGCTGCACGAACGCTCCGCCATCCTTTAATAAAAAATAATACAATGTTACATATCATGATATAGTAAAAAAAATAGTAAATAGTCAGTAAAATAATTTATTCATCTTGCTTCACGTCAAAAACAATTGTCAGAATCTTATTTTACCTAAAAAGTTGCAAATTTATTTAATATGCCACGTTCAGTAGAGAAAACTGTAAGTGCTCAACATCAATGTGAACGCTTAATAATTGTTAATAATTCTTAAAGTATACGCACTAATATGTTTGTGAGGTGGAGTTTATGCTGAGAACGATAAAAATTTTTCTTAAGATTTCTTTTTCGAAATTTTTTGTCGTTCTCTGAATAAATTCCACCTCACAGACACATATTTAACACGTATTAATGTGTATATTTTAATCTTGGAAAAAGATTTTCGAATCTGTAAAAGAGGAAAAAAGTAAATCCTTGCAAAGCAAATAATTTCGTTTTAGGAGAAATATTTTTTTCTACGCTTTTATAAATCTTAATTCCACATATTGTACAGTATTGTTCGTTCAAGTAATCTCCCGCCTCACGTTTATTTTCAATCTACAAGCTGTAAAAAAACTTTTATATCAAGACTGTGTTCCAAATTTACTGCCAACATTGAAAATGCGACAGTTTACGTTACGTGCACTATAGATTTTCAGTACAAATGCGTGGTCTACAATGGTAGTATCAGTAATGGATAAAGCTGTAAGAGTAAGAAATTGACCAATTACAGTTGAATGTAAGAAGAATAATCGACTGTGATTAATCAATTTCTTACTCTTACAGCTTTATCCATTACTGATACTACCATTGTAGACCACGCATAAAGGAACTAGGCCAAACACAGGCTTTACGCTCGTTTCGTTACGCCAGCACAAACATTGAAGGTTTGTTCGTGTCGCAAGCTTCAACATGCTCCAACATGCTCCTATCATAACTCCTACTCATTCTATCAAGAGCGTTGGAGTGAGTAATGCGTCGTCTACAATATGCGAAGTAAGCTTAGTTTAAGAAGTAAGAGTTAAAAATTGACCAATCACAGTCGATTATTCTTTTCACAGTCGACTATGATCGGTTAATTTCTTACTCTTACTTCTAAAACCAAGCTTACTTAGCATATTGTAGACGACGTCTAACAGCTATGGTAGGAGCATATTGAAACATATTGGAGCATGCGACGCGAACAAATCTATCTCGCTATCTTTGCACACTCCCCACTCCCAAAAAGAAGCTGCATTAGCAATATAAAATGAATTTTTAGTGCAAAAATGAAAATAAGAGGTACAGCCTGCAATGGTCTTGATCTTGACAAATGTTATCCAGAACATAATCCTGAACAACATTCAAGAAGTTTTAGCCGTCGGTCGGACAACTTGCGTAATGCGAAAACATTTATTTCTCATTGATTAGGTAGTCCAAAATTTATTCAATCCTAAAAATCGATATCTGAAAATTTTTCGGGTCACTCATGAATAATCCGCAGTCAGATTTCCAAAATTTAAAATGGCGGATGCAATATATATGATGACTGCAGTGGAAGAAGAATTGGCTGGAACGCTTAGATTCTTAATCATATGATCCAAAATTGATTTTTTTCCCATGAAGATAGATATGTGAGGATCTCCCAAAATGAATTTCGTTAAGATTCGTAGATTGTGAATAAAAATTTATAATGAATTGGAAAATACATTATGGATCCGTCATTTCGAATTTTGGAAATATGATTACGGATTGTTTATGAGTTATTTGAAAAACCGACAATTATCGATTTTCATGGAAATTAAATGAATTTTGGACCACCTGATCAATGAAATAAATATTTTCAATAATTTTCATAAGTTTTTTTATTTATTCTAACCGTCATATTGGAGCAGCCGCTTTGAATTTTCAAAAACGCCA